CATTCCTTAATTTACCTTCAAATTTGGCAATGAATTGAATAGAAGTTCTTTAATTTGTCTTTATGATAAGCGAATTAAGAAGAACCGAGAAAATTACAAGTTTTCCAGATCCGAAAAACAAAGAGCTGAAGTCAGAACGATGTATTCTCCTGCAATTAATCAGCTCGGTGGATGAATATGCTTATGATTTGCTTGCGGGCGGTTTTTTCTTCGAAACTAAGGTATGCTTTAAAATTTGCGAAGGTAATAAGCAACGATGAAATGAGCTTTCAAATTTATATTATACACAGGAACAGATAGCGTACGACTGTCTAATGTTTTGCTGTAGCTTTTTAAATTACTGTGAAAATATGAAAAAAGTGGTTAAGTATCGAACATTATACAGGCTCTTCTAATTCTTTGAGCTGTGTGGAAGCCTGTGGCAGCTTTTTATCTCTTACAGGTACCATCTCTTCTTTTCCGTTATGCCACAAAAGAAAATTATCCGTTTACGGCACGCTTATTTGCGGATACACGTTTCGGCACTCATCGATCGCGTCCTGATCACCAGACGCTACGACGAATTCAACATGCTGCAGCATTTTTGGCTATCACCAACAACAATATCTACAATTCTGCTTCGGGTATATTCTAAAGTTCTCCTTGTGGTCTTAAATAAGTGGTATTTAGCAACATAAATAACTTTCAGAAACCTTTCAATTTAAGATGCAAATTTCAAATAACAAATCGTTTTGGTAGCGCAGTTTTTCAAGAAATTTTTTTTAATTTTTAGAAAGTTTTCATTTATTTTAACTTCCAAATCTCAGCTCGACTGAGTGCTTGTCGATGTTTTCAACAGCGAAATGAACCGATTTCTGAAACTTGTCATTGTTATCTTTCCAGCATCGCTTTCTCACATCGACAACACGACATCCGAAAATCCGGAAAATCATAACGTTAGTTCAAATTCGGTTCAGAAGTTTGTTTGTATCATTCGCATAGAGTAAAAAGAAATGTGTCTTACCAAAGTTATTATTTTAGATTTTTTCTGATTAATTGAAAAGTGAGTGAAATCCGTAATACTTTTAGTTGGAGCCAAATAATCCGGACATCTCTCAGCTTCAATACAATGTCAGCCGCATGTCACTTGCCGATGACGCCGCACCGAAATCATCAACGCTCGCCCCTTATCACAGCAATATGTACTGAGTTTTTAGAAGAGCTTTAATGATTACAGAACAGATATGTAAGAATGCTGAGGTATGGGTTTTTCAATTCCTTTCATTTCCGAAATAAATTTTCACACGAAGGGAGATTATATGATTTTTTCTGCATTCTGTTATCGATGTTTAATGAATTTTATTATTGCTAATTTCACTTTCATCAATCATTTAATAACTATCAATTTTTCTGTTTTTTGTGTGGTTTGGTGTTTACTTATTGACAGTAAAGAGATCGCGTGACGAATCATTCCAACAATTTTTTTTGTTCTGCTTCTTACATAATCAACAATTTCGTTCATTGCTCTTTCAATACTTTTGTAAGGAATTGTAGTTTTAAAGATTACAATAAGAGAAAACTGATTTAACGTCGAGAATGTGGGAAAACCACATATTAATCCTATGCAGAAACAATCAGTAAACCATTAATGTGTCATCATTTTTTCCAAGACGTTGACCCGAACGGAAGCATCACCAGGAGATAGGAGCATTTGGGTTATATTCAATAACTAAATGACTATCGCCTGCTTTTTCTGATAATTTTTTGTTTTCAAATTACCGGATTTAAAACCAAAAACGAAAAATTGATGAAATATTTGTTGAAATCAATTTTCGGTGTGTTGAATCAGTTGAATTCTGAACTTAGAATGTAATTTATAAAGGAAGATATATTCAGGTAGGAATGTATCACAACATAACACAATGTTTATGATACTGTAATTGAAATAAAAGCATAACATTCGGAAATCGGCTGATTTTTTAAATTTCATGTTCAACTTATTTAATTTGTCGTTTTCAAATTTTTTGAATAGTCTTCCTTTTCCAACTTATACATTGTAGGCATTCTCACGTGGACATATAAGCAATCTCGCATATATGTTCCTGTAATGCATAAAGGATAACAGATCGATTCCCCAAATACTTCAGCAAATACATCCTGAATGTTAGACATTCGTCGCTATTCTATACCGTTCCCAGAAAAATAGTCCTTACAAAACTGCGAAAGAATAGGCAAATTCATCAAACTTTCATGCTAACCTTGCAGTTAAACAGTGGTTAGTGGAACATTTTCCGTTCTTTGCGTTGATTGATTTAATTGAATTCTCGCTAATTATTACAAATATTTTAATAATCCAGTCATTGAATTAAATCGTGAAAGCCTTTTAAATTTGAAAAATTTATTTTGAATAAAACAAACACTGAAAAAAAGGAAAGTGGTGAAAATACAGAACGTACATGATGAATGAGCAGTGATTAATGCTATATTAATGATATTGAAGACAGGCCCACACATATTTGGCAGAGATTTGACAATTAGATGGTAAACTCATTTTGGATAAGAGAAGAAAAAAGCTAAAGATTCCTTTGGAGGTTTGTAGAAATCAGCATAAATTATAAGTCAAGACAGCAAACAATTTAATTTGCTAGCTTTACGCAGTATTTCATTATTATTATATTTGGCATTGAACCAAACATGATTAGTAAACCAAAACGAGACAAAATACAATTTAAGCCATCGCAGTGTAATAATTTATAATCCCATGGATCAGATTATTTGCTTTATATTATATATGGCAGAGATTTCTTCTACTATCGGCGTAATTCTGAAGCTTACGGCAAAATATAGCAATATAGCTTTGATAATTTGCAGCTTACAGATGTTATGTAATATACAAAAATGAACAAAAACATCGAGGTAATTTGAATTTCAAGTTTGATACAAACAAACTGAAAATCAAAGAAGCAAGCATATGATGAACTTTGAAGACGATCTTCCCTTCAAAATTATCATGCAGATAATTCAGTATAGGCATTCCCAGAATCGATTTTATCAGAATCGCTTGTAAAGGCTAACACGATGAAGAAAAGCATATTTTCCGAGTCCTTGTCTCGAAGACTTAAAATTGATATCAGATGGCTGTTGTCGATGTATGCTATGCAAAGATGTATCGATGATTCAATATTTGTTATATTTCAGTGTTACGGAATAGATTTGATAATGTTGTCGGTTATAATTCTCACATCATCAACCAATTTTCTGAATTCGCCAACGGCCGCTGAGAAATCAATTGGAGAAGCAGAATTGAAAATACGTCTGACAAATGGCGTCAAAACCTTATTGCATCTCTGAAAACGATTGTCAAAATAAATAGAGAAAGAACGCTTGGATATCACAGAGGGACACGAACACGGACGTGTATACGATAAGGAACTCATTTTGTTCGAGATTGAATTAAATATCAATTATCACTCCTACCTTCAGTTTTTCTTCTCTGATAGCCGTGATTGCACGTTGAATGCCCGGCGGTCGAACTTGCTTTACTTCATTTATTGAAATATCGCTAGGCAATAAGCCCTGAAGCAGCATCTCTGGTGGTTGCTGAAGTAATGCCATAACATTTCTCAGTTGTGCATTTGACCATTCCGATAGATGATAATCAGCGCCATATATCCCACAGATAAACGGTAGGTATACTTCCAGTGGGAGGTATCGTCCACAATTGATGATATAAGCTAAATTGACTTTAATTAAAACAAATCAAATGCCTAATAGGTGATGGAAATCTGTGGTGGAATTCCGTGGTGATATGTGTGAACGTATTGCGCAGCTCGAAGATTGTTTGTTAACACGAACTAATGATTTTAATTAATTTAGAAATCAAATACGGCTCAGCT